TTATTATTATTATTAATATTTTTTTCCAGGCTCAGTTTTGAAAGATTAGCTTCACACTTGTGCGCGTGCTGGAGTTTTATAAATCAGAACTTGTGCAAGCTCCTCTCTGCTCTGCTGATCAAGAGCTGGGTCCTTAGCGAGATGCCTGTTTTCTTTGCTGTTGGGGTTTTAATGCATAACATACGGTTTGACGTAAATCTCATGGATTAAGGGAAAGGTGTGATCATGCGATAAAATCAGATTTTGTTTCAACTAAGCATGGGAGAAAAATTGCCATTTGTGTAAAAATGAGAAGAGAAACAAAGGAGGCAAAATATTCATTAAGAACATTAAGCAAACAGAAATTCCAGACTACACAGTTCACACGCACTTTCAAGATTATACCTATATGTCCTGAGTTTTAAGTACAAAACATAATATTATAATGCTACATTTCCTGTTTATTAAATGTACATATAAGTAGATGGATTTTTTTAAATTTCTTTTTGGTATCAGAGATTGAACTCAAGAACTTGCGCTTGCCAGGCAGATACTGTTCCGCTGATCTAAAACACCAGCCCTAATTTTATTTGAAGCAATGACAAGTTTTGTCATTTCAGTTGCAAATCTTTGATTTTACTTTAGCATTTTCTTGTGTGTATGCAGGTATTGAACTGAGGACTTTACACTTGTCAGGCAAGTGCTCTACACCCCAGAGCTATCTCCCCAGCGTTTCTAACACTTTTTGATTTTTTTTTTTTTTTTGGTTTGGCATTTTTCAAGATTTGGTAAGAAAATGGCAATATAGATTGATGCCAGCCAGGACTCAAGGAAATGGCAAGCTGTAATTTTCTTTTCAGGAAAAAAATGTTTCCCTTACAGATTTCTATTCTTTTTGTCAAGCTTAATGGTATAGCGCTTTTAGAGTGCTTTCCCCCATTTTCTGACTTTCATTGCCTTTATAATTTTTCAGTTTTTAATCATATTCTGCTACCTTTCTCTCCCTTTCTCTTACACCCACTCGAGACCCAGCCATAGGCTGCACTTCCTCTGGCTCGCGTGGCCCCTCCTCCTGCGGGTTGTCTTAAGCTTGAGCTCCTTCACCATTGTCAGCTGCCCTGCTGTGGGAAGCGGTGGGACGCAGCGTCTCCTTCCACAGCAGTGATTCAAGTCCAACCACAGACTCCCCGCTGCTCGTGAAGTTCTACCCACTGTGACGGCTTTCTCTTCTTTTAGAAAAATAAAGCATCATTATTTTACTTTTGTTTTTTAAAATAGGTTCTATGTTTAGTCTTCAAAAAATTGTTTTTACCTCATGAACTTGTTTTTAATTAAAGTTTTCCAACCAGAAACAGCTAGTTGCCTTTGCTTAAGTGAAATACATCTGAGTTTTTCCAACAGGAATAAAAACCAATATATTTGGATTAGCCATGTTTCATTTAGTGTTCAAGTTTCTAGGACCAAAGGAAGCCATCACATGAGGAAGAAGTTTGCACAAACAATAAGATATTTACTGTGGAAAGGACTGATATTCCAGTAGATAAGGGGTGACCCATGCAGGATACAGTGACGTGAAGGAGCTCTGCACTACGGGACCGTCCCATGTGACGGTTGCGTCTGCTCCCACCAGCCACCAGCTGCTGAGGGTGCACCCCATGCAAGGAGCTCGCATGCTCACAGCCTGCTCTTTAAGGGCTTTGGGGTGCTGGAAACATGGGCCTGGGCCATCAGATTTAGAATGTGAGCCCTCAGCTTTCCCACACGTCCTGCCACTCCAGCCTGGAAGGTCTTCAGGGTCACCTATTCTTTGTCAAATCTCTATTTTAGGAAGCGGAATTCCTTCACTTTTCAATAGAATCTTGCCTGGTAATTCATAGAACAGGGTCAGCTTCATGAACACATGGGAAAAGATTCAGTGAAAGCCTTAAGGAACCAAAAAGAGTAGGTTGGTATGTTACAGATCTTCCAGTAGATGGCGAACAATGCCACAGTAAAGAAGCACTGAGCGCTGGTCTTACAAACACTGGGCCTGTGGAAGTGGTGCTGTCCCTTTAGGGAGCTGCTGAGGCCTGAAGCTCTCTGGCCAGGTTTTGGGACTCACATGGGCTGTGGGGTCTCTGGGCACCAGGGCCAGCTCTTCCCAGCAGCCAGTTCCTTAGTCTTCCTGTTCTATCCTGTGATTGATAATGCACCTGCCTGTGATCACCTCCCAGCAGGTCTCTCAGTGAAGCTGGCTGAGTGAGAGGACAGGGTCACAGCTCTGAACAAAGGGCCAGCCCTGAGCGAAACAAGAATGAAGTGGCCTCATGAGTTCAGAGCTGGAGCTGACAGAACCCCAGAACTCACCTGCATTGAGAAGTACAGAGGAGTTTCCCTGGAGGAGGCCCTGAGAGGAGGAGAAGGGGAACTGGGGGAGGGGCTGTGACTGCAGACCTGGGCCCTGCTGTTCTCCAGTGTCCACAGCACTGAGTCCAGGGCACTGCTTGGTCCACAAGGGCTGAGAGTGGGCCCTGAGCTTCGTACTGCTTGGGTCCTGCAGTGTGGACAGACTGGGAGGTCATGTGCTGACTCTGGGACTCTCAGTTCAGTTTATTATTATTATTATTATTATTTTTTTTTATGTGTGTGTGTGTGTTGTGTGTTGTGTGTTAGTAATAGTATACAGAGTCTCACCACGTAGATTGGACTCACAGTGATCTGCCTGTGTTCAGACTCCCAAAGAGCCGGGAATACAGACGCAGGCCACCATGCCCAGTCTGAAATGTCCTCTCAGCCTGCCCTGGGGCCATGGCCAGCACCACAGGTCCTCAATCGAACCCAGGCCACTGCATCTGCCTAAGTAGGCACTTTAATCCACTGAGCTATTTGGCCAGCCCTCTCTGTTCAGTTCAAATGTAACAGAATTTAAAGCAATATGCTACATAAGCAGTTAGAATGAACATTTATTGCAACCGTAAATTAATAGTTAATATATTCCATGCACACAACAGAAAAGCAATTTACATATTTGTGTGGGGAACACCTGCTCTTCATCTTTCTCAGCACATCGGAAGCTGAGTGATTCCCGACTCTCTGGGATGGGGACATTTTCTGATCCCCTTCTTGGCCTCTGTCCCTCACACCTGTGAGATCAGCGCTGAGAACCTGCAGCTCCCTGACTCTCATGGTGTCGCTCTCCTGGGACTCCCAGCCTGGTCAGCACCCAGCTTGGTGACCACTTTCCTCCATGGATCCACTGTGGCTCAGCACCACAGGCAGTGTCTCTGTGTCACCAGGTCCTCAGCCCCGTGGGACAGAGGGGCAGCTGCTTTCTCCGCAGCCCATGCAGTTCTCGGCAGCCCCAAGAACTGCACGCTTGACCTCAGCCTGGGCTCAGTACCCTGATGAACACCTCTGTCATTCACTCTCATGCTTGAAGACCTATTTAGGACTTAACTTCTCTACCCACATCTCCTCAATTCCTGAATCTGCCCTAGCACTTGGATAAAGAGGATTTGTTTTCCTTGTTGTCCTAGAGTCTTACCTGTTCCTAACATATCAGATAAAGTTTTTATTCATTTTTCTCTTCTCTGTCCAATATAAGTTAGGAGCTCAGGATTATTTGTTTTTAAAGGGTCTATCCAACATTGAACACACCGCTGTCATCTCTGTTTTCTGCAGTTGGTTCAGCATCAGCTCTGACATGCTGGGCAGGGAAGCACAGAGGGGCCTCTCGCAGCCTGGCAGGAGCAGGCATTGGGAGAGGTTGCAGGATTGAAGACGGAGGACAGAGGCTAGGATCCTACACCTGGGTGGGCCAGGAAGTCATAAACCCTGACTGGATTTCTTTCAGAGACAGCTACAAGGGGAGGGGCGAGAGCCACCCCAAGCAGCCCTCCTCTGAGCACGGGACACTGAGGCCAACGCTGAGTCGTCTGCGCACTGACAGGCACAGGGAAGAAGTCTAGCATTTGCGGTCCTTCTGCTGTCTCTATGCCGAGGTACTGATCCAGGGCTGCCAAGTGCAGACTTCCCATTACACTTTTAGTCATTGCTACAGTTTCTCTTATTGGCTTCAAAGTCAGTTGTAACTTATTCTGAAAGTAAAAATAGGAGCTAGAACCTGGCTGGGCTTCAGAACTGCTCTTCCTGGACGACGGAAAATTGTGTGCTCTTCTGTGTGTCTGAGACACGAAGGATTAGGAATCGTGGGGTGGAGAGAACCTCGAGTTGCTCCAAGAATGGGTCAGTTCTCCCCCGGGCTTGTCTTCAGTTCTCTTTTTCATAGCCTAAGCCTGAACTGGGTTCTTGTTTTCTTTAATTCCTGCTTCTCCAAAGGAACTGAAGATAGAACAGTGAATAAGGAGCACAAGCAAATATACTCTGAATCACAGAGAGAACAGGAGCACACTGTGCTCGTGGGAGAGCAGCCTGACTCTGTCCTGCACCCCCAGGGAGAAAGCTGTTCTCCCCAGGAAATCTGTGCTGCCCTAGTCTGAACAGCGACCACAGCAGGCAGGTGGCCTGTGCTGAGAGGAGCCAGCCCTGCAGCTGTGCCACCCCGCCCGTGCCTGCTGATTTGCATGTGCCCAGAGCCAGCCCAGCCCTGAGGACTTCTTCACAGGGTGCTGACTCCCTGGGCAGGAGTCGGTCCCAGGCAGGACACAGCATGGCCATGAGGGTCCCTGCTCAGCTCCTCGGGCTCCTGCTGCTCTGCCTGCCAGGTAAGAAAAGATAGGTGGGAATTTACTAGGCACCATATGAATAAGGTTTGTGGGCATTTCTTGGAGATTTTTTTTTATCATGATTTTAATTGTGCTGATATTTGCTATTTCCATTGTCAGGTGCCAGATGTGACATCCAGGTGACCCAGTCTCCATCCTCCTTGTCTGCATCTCCAGGAGACAGAGTCACCGTCAGATGTCGGGCAAGTGAATACGTTAGCGACTGGGTATCTTGGCATCAGCAGAAACCAGGGCAAGCTCCTAAACCTCTGATCTACGCTGCAACCAGTTTGCAGTCTGGGGTCCCCTCGAGGTTCAGCGGCAGTGGGTCTGGGACAGATTTCACTCTCACCATCAGTGGCGTACAGGCTGAGGATGCTGGAACTTATTACTGTGTACAGAGTTACACTACCCCTCCCACAGTGACACACGCCTTAACAAAAACCTCCCCAGGAAGTAGAAGTGTGAGGCTGGGCGGCCTCACTGCTCTCTGTTCTGTCTCCACCTGCAGAGGGCTTGCTCAGATGCAGCCAAGCTTTGCTGGTCACTGGGGGGTCGGGGGTTGGTGAAAGTCCAGAGAGAGGCTCCTTTGCACCCTAACTCTCTCCCTCCTCCTCAGCTGTGAGCACAGACCTCATGATGTCTGTCCTGATCTGATGCAGGACACTGAGGAGCTCCCTGTGTAGTGCGGCTTATGGCAGCACGTGGATTTTATACAGCAGCCGAGAAGCCCTTCTCTGCATTCCTTGAAGAGTTGTTCAAGATTTACTTTATTTATTAGAATAGATTTCTGCTCAGAGAAAAATGTAAAGTACAAGGCTGTTGCATTTATACCACACACTTCCACACTGGCACAATATCTCAACCAGTAATATGCACTTACAATTGGGTTGCAATCAGTGGTCAATTTTCACTCAATGTCCAGATTCACAATAAAGTTCATTTTTCTTTAAATGTATTTGATTCGGGGTCTCACTATACAACTCAGAATTATAGTGATCCTCTTGTTTTCAGTCTTCCCAGAGCTGAGACTCAGGTGTGTCCCACCAGGTCCTGTCTCAGTGCACACCCAGGGTCTGCCTCTCATGGCATGTGGTCTCAGGGATCGAACCCCAGTCGTTGCACTTTCCTATGCATGGCTTAGTCCACTGAGCTATCCTGCCAGTCTTTAAGGTTTAGTCTTGATATGTATTTCTCCAGCATAACCAAATGTATAGTGATATGCAAATCACATTTTGGTTATGACTTGGTGTGACTTGTGTCCCTAAATCCTGCTTGTTTATCCTCTCTTTTCCTATTTCCTGTAAGTCATTCATGTCTTACCATTACTATAGGTTTTCTTTTTAGGATTGAATAAACCTTCAAATTTATATAATAGAAGCCTTTGAAAAGCTAATCTCAAAACACATTATAGTATGGAATACACTACGGAAAATACTGAGTAATACATTGCACTGTGCAGCCTCCTCTTCGATCCTCATTTATTGCTCTGAATAACCTGCCTTAGTGAAGGTGCTGAGACAGCAGCTTTCTCAGAGCTGACTGTGCCTTGGAGGTGACCAGGATGCAGACCTGCTTGGACTTCACGCTGAGAGCCCACCCTAGTTTTAAACTATAAGCAGGAAGTTATATATTCTGGGGCCCATGTAAGGGACTGACTGGACTTGCAGGCGGAGCACTAGAGCTGTCACGCTTCTTCTTTTCGATCCCTGAGGGGCGGACACCAGTTCATGGCTCGCAGTCTTTGTCCACCCCTGAGGAAAGTCTGCAGCTCTGTGCATTTGCCTTTGCTGAGTTGGGCCCTTAACATTAAGAAGAAAAAGCAGTCTGCATTTTGTGCTGAAAAATACCTACTAGCCTTATGTTCACTTTATTTTTTTAAAGAGTCATTTATTTGGTGCAGGGTCTTACCACACAGCTCAGGTGCAGACTTTTAGTGATCCTCCTGTCTCAGCCTCCCTGTGCTGGGATTATAGTCGTGCATCATTATGCTATGTTTTAGTGGTCATTATGGTACCGGGCCCTTATGATACCGGGCTAGCACATCATGTGGTACCAGGGATCGAACTCAGGACCTTGCACTTGCCAGGAAGGTGCTTAGCCACTGGGCTATCACCCAGGTCCTATATTCATATTTTCTGTGTGGCTTTCAGGAGTGTAAAATTTGAACACCTCTCCTAAGCACCTTCTCTCAGTTCACTGTGAGTAGCAGAGGTAAACCTGCTGGAAGGCAGTGGAGGCGACCTAGCTAAAACAGGACCCCAGGATGCTGTCATTTTTCAGCCAAGATGGCTAGATCTGTGGAGGTGTCAACCACTGTAGGCACTCTGTCTCCAAGCTCTGCACTCCTTTTCTATCCAGAAAAACCTTCAGTTCAGGCAGAGAATGCAGCCCCTCTGAAAAGCCTGTTCCCGTTCTCTCATCCAGGGGTATGATGGTCCATTTATCCCCTGCTTTGCAGTAGCTGTTCACTTCTTCCCTATTAACTTTATCTTTTCAGTGATCTGTATTAATAAAGATAAATTCTAAACAGGAAAAGCACAGAAACCTGACAGGAAAATGGTAATTAGTAAGTGACAAGAGCGGCTTAATGTGCTCTAGCTCTTTTGTTTGTTGTCAAACATCAATAAGGGATATCTTAAAAAAAAAAAGCTAAACTCATAAGTGCAAGGGCCACCTTGCGCTCTATCAGTTCCTGAGCAAACATATAATTAGTGAGCTCTGAGCACAGCAGCATGGAATGGGCTTAGAGGTTTAGTTTCTGCCCACCTGAAGCCCTTCCAGGCTCCTGAGCGAGGTCCTTGAAGACAGCAGTTCACACAGCAGTTTGGGTCCGACTTGTCAAACTGGTTTCCTTCACAAGAGCCAGAAGTGGAAACTCCCTAAATTGTTATCGGCACAGGAAGAAATAAATTTGGCATTATTACATGTTAAATCATACTTAGAAATGACAGAAATCACATTATTGGTTGTCTCAGTTACTCTTCTCTCATTGTTGGGACAAACACCCACCACTGAGAACGAAAGAGGGAAGGTTTATGTAGCTCACAGTTACTGGAGGTCTCAGTCCACACTCAGCGGGCTCCAGGGCAGAGCACTCAGGGCAGAGGGCAGCCTTGGATGGCAAAGTGAAGGTGGCAAAGGGCAGAGAGCCCCGAGGAGCGGCAGCAGCCCACGCAGCTCACCAGCCTCTCCTCCCTCCTTACACGGCAATGCCAGTTCCCTGCCCCAGGGCAGAGGCAGCATCCACACCCGCAGTCACCAATCACAAACTCCAGAAGCTGCCCCATGACTGCAGGAGGCTTTGGAGGGACAGCTAGACACCAACAGTGACAGTGGCAAATGGAACAACATGAACTGAACTACAGCACAGCTATGTTGAGGCAAAGTAGGAAGCTACTGAGGAGTATAAGCTGTAGGAGTTCTCGTACATGAAATTCTAGCAAAGGCAAACCTAGACTACAGTGACAACGGGTGGGTCTGGGGAGGACTATTTCAGGGGACACAGTGGAAATTCATCAAACAGGTGGTGGAAAGCTTTTGAGTTTTACCGTAATATTCTCTATTTTGATTTTTTAAGTAGTAGATGCTGTTGCGAGCCTAAAATCAACGAGCTGCTCAGTGGAGATTGCTGTGACTGTGTGTACTTCAACTTTTCTCTAATTGTGCTGGTTATTAACAGTAAGCTCAAGGCTCATTTTCAAAGAGCGTCTTCATATTTCTTTGTGCCCTGGAGTTTCACGAAAAAAGAACTTCTGCAAGCTCATCTTGGCTTTCAGAATACAGAGCTGCGCATCTCTTAGTGAGATGCCTACTTTCTTGCTGTTGGGTATCTCAGTGCATGAAATGACATTTAACAGAGGTCTCATGGATTAATTGAAAGGCATGATCATGCTATAAAATCGCATATTATTTCAACTAAGAACAAAAGAAAATTTGTAATGGGGCTCACAGGTAGCAGGAGTCTGAGGTGGACACCGTGTCCTGTGTGTCCGGAATCCTCCACCTGCTCGATCAGTCCACAGGCCTCATGCTGTGAGGCGCTGGGGTAACACATCATCAGTTCTGGAACGTATGTGCAGTTTGCACCTTCCTCCATATTCTAGGGGTGAAAGCGTGGGCTCCAGGCTCCAGCTTGGCAAGCAGCGTCTCCCAGAGCGAGGCCCTCCGTTAGCGTCCTAGCAGCAGCAGGATGCAGAGAAGGTTCTGGAGATGGAGCTTGCTCTGCATCTGCCTTGGCCCCGGCACTTCGCAGCTCGGTGCAGCGGTGCAGGACAAACCTTGGCTGGTGTTCAGCAGCATCCTTACCTCGTGCTGTTGCTGACTTGACCTGCAGAGACTAAAGAGTCAAAGAGCCGTGTAAGACTCAGATCCTCGCGTGACTTTAATTCCTTCCGGACTGAAATGATCATAGCATCCTTCACCCAACACGTGTCCCTGTCCCACACTCATGACAAAGCCTCTGACCTTATCCCTGCCTAAAACACGGCTGCTTCCCACCCCAAATGCTAACTTTACTTTGCTAAATGAAACTAAATTCAACTAGAACCTCAGTTCCTCAGCTCCTCTCGTTACACTTCTAGCACCTAAAACATGTGGCCCAGGGCCAACTACTGATCAGTGCAAATACACACATTCACATCAGCTTAAAAATTACTTTGGTCCATGTGGTTCCATTACACATCTCACTCCCAGTGGTGCTGTCAGAATAGGGACCTCAACAACCTCTTCTTTAGCAGGCCTTGGATCCTGGACATTCTCTAGGTTGTTAGCTGTTCAGCTACACTTTCCCCTGTTACCATGTCAGTATTGATTTGAGGATATGCTATTATAAATCCTCATTCTATACAAGCATTACTGTACAGTAAAAACAGCACACAATGCTGGCTCCTCTAGCAATGCATGTTAGAGGGGTGCGGCTGAGGGCTGACAGCATCTCCATATTCAACCCATCATCCCAGGTGACAGTGCAGGGGAG